CTTCTAGTTATGCTGACATCACCAGTGCCTGCAGTGTACTCATGCTGATTTATCAATTAAAACAAACTGTCTTAAGAAATAACAAGTGTTGGAGAGGTTGTGAAGAAAAAAGGAACCTTCATGCACTGTTGGTGGGAATGGAAATTAATACAACCACTATGGAAAATTAGCATGGAGGTTCCTCCAAAAAACTAAGAGAGCTACCATATGGCCCAGCAATGCCTCTTCTGGGTATCTACGTGAAAATCTTGAAAAACATGGTAGGAGAGGGTAAAGGGGGTCAAATATACGGTGATGAAAAGAGACTTGACTTAGGGTGGTGGGCACACAGTGCAGTAGACAGATGGCATATTCTAGAATTGTATACTTAAAACCTATATGATCCTATGTCACCCCAATAAGTTTAATAAAATTTTTAAAAAAAATGTAAGATTGTCTTTTAACTGAGTCTCTGCCCCCAAACTCAGAATAAATGCTTTGAAAGGATGTATTCTCTTAACTCCTCAGCCCAGATCAGATCCTGTCTCATAATATTATCTTTTTTTATGTTACAATAATAATTATCATAGCCAACATCATTTACTCATTTGTCTGTCAAATATTGATTGAACACCAACTACATGCCAGGCACTGTCTTAGATATTGGGAATAAAGCAATGGGCACCACAAAGTCCCAGCCTCTCATACTCCGGGGCTCACTTGGCATGTATTCCCATGGCTCCTCACAACTACCCTGCTCCTGTCTCCGCAGACCACAGCGGTAACAGAGCCTGAGGGGTGGAGTAACACATACACAGAGAGACACAGTAAAGAAGACAATAGCTCATGTGTTTGACTTTGTCTCTCCTGAAAAGGGCCTGATTCTTATGCATGACCAAGAGCCCTCCCTTCAGAAGACACTCTTTGAGTAGCAACAACAGCATTTAACTATCAAACATTTACCCTAATCCTGTGCAAATGTGACATTATGAAGCACATGAACTAGGACATGATAGGAAAAATAAAGAGAAGCCACGACCGTGTAACTCTATATGGCATCTGTGGCGTTCTTCA